TCTCTCCCTCTCTTTTCTCTCTCACTGAACCCTCTCTCTGCCTCTCTCCCTCTCTTTTCTCTCACACTGACCCCTCTGCTTCTCTCCCTCTCTTTTCTCTCTCACTGAACCCTCTCTCTGCCTCTCTCCCTGGCCTTCCTCAAAGCTAAGCTCATTCACTGCCATGCCTCTCTGTCTAACCCCTCTCTCTCTACCTCACACCCTCCCCCCACCTCTCTCTATTTTTGGAAGCTGCACCTGTTGCTCCCACATTCCCCAGTTCTGCAGACCAGCAGATATTTGGGAGTCTCATGTAGAGAAGCAGTCCCAAAGACAGCAGGACAACAGACTAGTGCAACAGGAACTGTGCTCAACAGCAACACACTCTTATGTATGTTTATACAACATTATAGGTGCTGTACAAGGGTCTGTACACTTAAACCGTCCGGTAAACGGTACCGAAGCATTCGGTCAAAGTCCAACAGATTACAGAACAGCTTCTACCTCCAGGCAATAAGTCTGCTAAATAGCCAACCTGCAGCTCCTTCAGCAAATCAACCGCAATGGCTACATGGACACACAGTTTTCATTGTATTCGGCACACTGCACTACTTGGACATAATATATTACATACACCCTGGACACATAGCAGCTCTATTTATATTGAGTTTTGTCCGAGTTAATCTTATTCAGTTTCTATTGCATTATTATCTTTTATTATGTCACCTTAGTTTTGTGATTTTTAACCCCACCGGTGAGCTCGTAGAAAAGACATTTCATTGCCAGCAACTACTGCTGCTGCACGCTGTATTGTTGTGCATTTGATAAATAAACTTTGATTGACTGACTGAGTATGCATAGAGTTGTATTTAAATATACGCTTCACCTGAACATAATCCCCTGTACCTACATACTGTACAAAAACCTGTACATGAACATATACTCCTCTAACCATAATAATAACGTGGATCTGCACGCACTGTAAATCTTGTAAATGTGTTCCTTTATCTGTGCACACATCTTGACCTCCAGTATGGAGACCTGGGCGTCACTTCCCTAAACGCTGTCAACCTACAACGCACTACATAAACCACCCATCCTTTGAACCTCAGCTTCTCATGTGTGCAATCAAACAGACCGACAGTGCTGGGAGAGCCCCCCGGTGCTGTGGTCTCCTGGGCAGGATTAACGGGTGCTGAAGGGGAAACTTCTGCTGCTGCAAACTGGGGTGACGGCTCACGCCTGCCATCTCTCATCACACAGCGGGGAGGGGGAGAGACAGGAAGAAAGGGAGGAGAACACGTAGCTGCAGGAGGAGGCGGCCCCGGAGTGGCCGGGGTGGTGGTGGTGTCACAGTGGCAGATCCTCTCTTCCAGGAGGACAGACACACAGACACAAGCGCTCACTCAGCCTTGTCCCACCCAGCAGCCCCAGGAAGGATGCAGACCACGGGCTCTCTCACTCTGAACCACTTACAGAAGACACAGAGACCGGAAGATATCGCACTTATTGCCACAATAAAAATATATACACTACATGTACTGCAGGTGCTCTGTCATAATAAAATAACCATCTTCAAAACAGTGAACCATCTGTGTCAGGCTCTGCATGAGGCGTTAGGCCAAGCTATTCCAGATATAGCCTCGTTTAAATCTGCTCCTTTTTTCTGCTTGGTGTTGTGTGGCTCTTGCATCATGCCGGTGTCCAGGCTGTGCATTTTTAATATACAGTAGCAAGGTATTCCAACGCACCAGAAAGTCTTTACCTGAATGCAGTCACCTGTTGGCAGCACTCTGCCCAAATTGGGGCAGCATGTGCTGTTGCTCAGTATAAATATTTACGTGCCCTGTACAGGCCACTGAAACCAGATACAAATGGGCAACCCCAGTCCTCTGGGCCCATAGCCCTGCAGATTTAACAGTCACTTTCCAATCAGCCTCCAGTGAAGCTCTAGAAAAAACGGATGATTTGACTTCCACGTCTCGTGATTATTTCAAGGTCGGAGCTAGAATGAAAGCCAGAGAGGCGAACGAGCATGAGAGGGGAATGAGGGCATCCGGGCCGTCTAGCTTGTTTGGCTGCTAACAGATAATTGATCCCAGGATCTCACCCAGCCCTGAAGCCAGGGCACTGGTTTCAACAATACTTTCAACAGCTTTTCCTTTGTGCACAGAAGTGCCTCCTGTCCTCTGTTTTATGTACACTTCCCTTAAGGCCCCTGAAGACTGGAGTTTTCCAACCCCGGTGGACAGAGTCCACACACACAAGGGCTGCATCTAACTGCAGTCCGCAATACTTTAAAATGGCATATTCACCCAAAGACCTTAAATCCCACCGATCACCACTAATAAGTGTCTGATTGAGATAAAGTGTGATTGTTAAACAACATTTCTCAAAAGGAACAAGTAAAAGGTTTATTCTATGCTGAAGACAGAAGAAAGAAAACACAACGTTTCGGCTGTGGAGCCTTCTTCGGGTGTGACTCCACAGCCGAAAAGTTGTGTTTTCTCTCTTCTCATTTTCAGCATGGAATAAACCTTCACTTGTTTCTTTGCAGCCTACGCATTCTGACGCAGCTGTCCACCTGAACTACTTCTGAAAGGTAATACATAGCAGAACAGGCAACAAGACAGAGTTAGGTCAAGGAGCTCTGGGGTGTTGCTGTCATGGATGACCTCTCTGTGTTTCTGAGGCAGGTTTTGACCTGCCTCAGAAAACACAGAAGGATTATGACCAGGTCAGAACCACTGGGTGCACCAGTAGTGTGCAAAGAGTCCTGTAGGATGTGATTGCTGTAATCCCAATCAAGCAATAGACTACATCACATCCTTCCATCCTTTACACAAATTCAATTGTGGCACCGGTAAGGCAACTGGTTTGCTGAGTGTAGAGTCAGGGTTCAGGGTTTGGACTCTTATATGGAAGGTCATGGGTTAAAATTCCAGGAGGGACACTGGTGTTGCACCTGATGGCAAGGTACTTCACTCAGACTGTGTTGGTAACCATCCTCCCCTCAAGATCAACAGAATGGTTAACCAGGTTAACCAGCCTCAAACTGGGCTTGAACTTGTTGCCCCAAGCCCAGCTGTGTCAGCTTGGAGGCTGGTTGTACTGTATACAGTATAGACACAGTGAACATGAGAGACCCACACACTGTAAGCTTGCAGAACAGCACACATACAATTATTCATCCGCCACCATACCAGACTTGTCCTAGTCCAAGTGTGCCTGCACCAGAGGGCTCTGCATGTGCCAGTGTGGGTGAGGTAGAAAGAAAAGCAGACACATAAAATCATTGTCCAAACTACTTTGTCCATCGGTTTCGGTGAGCTTATATGAAAGGCTACTAAAAAAGGCAGACAAGCCATTACATTCGGGCAAGTTCAAGCCAATCACTGATCTGATCAGAGAGGTAGGGAGACAGCCAGGACCCCAGGCCAGCACAACCTGTTGCCAGCTGTGTCCCAGCAGTGAGTGGTCCTCCCTCACCGCGGTATAAATAGATCAGCAGGCTAACGTGGATGGCACATGCATCAGTCCCTGTCTATCTACACACATCCCCCTGGTCATTCAGGAAGGAATTTTCGGGAACACCACCCCCCGCTACACACCACACAAACATGGGGAAGGAGAATGCCAGAAAGTGTTCTAGATATTTACAGAAAACTAAATCACTTTATATTAATATTTTGTCAAATACAGCACAACTACGTACACATACAGCACATACGCTCACACATACTGGACACAAGTGGACAGACACATGAACGGAAACAAACAGTTTAGGCTGAGTGACTGAAACCTATATACTGTACAGGCAACACAAAAATATACAAATAAAAAAGACAAAATAAAGTCAGGTTCAGTGAGAGACAGAAGTTGCTGGAACTACCATGCTTTTCGGATACACAGCAAGAAGAGCCATTTGATATGTAGGACAGTGTAGTCAGGGAATTCAGGGTTTAAAAATACCCAGTGAGCGAGGGTGCCTAGAACACCACAGAACTCACACACTGACACAGGCTGCGTTACAAGGCTGCAAAGCACCACAAAATAACAAACAGCAACTACACCAACTACACCAAGAACGATGAGAGTGGGTTCACACGTATCATATATTTGTCCCCTCTCCCAGTTTCACTGCCCCCCACCACCAAATCTCCTATTAATAAACAGGCGTACTTCTCACCCTGACTCCCAGCTGGCGCATGGCACGCAGCGGAGCCTCAGGAAAATCAGAGCTGCACTCACCGTCCTCAGGAACTGTATCTCCTCCTCTCCCTCCCCACCTTCCGCCATCCTTCCTCTTCTCCAAAGGTATTCTTCTCACCTCGGGAGAAAGCAACGGACCTGCCCTTCTCCCTCTCTCTGTCTCGGCTCCCTCTCCTCTCGGTGCCTGCGTGTGGGTGTGCTGGAGTACAGCACGAGCCCGGTGACTCTCACAGCGTAGTGAGAGAGAGTGACAGGCCGACTCTCACCGCGAAGAGCACACAGGAGGAGGGGCGGCCCCGCCCACCCGCTCATGAACACCCACCCCCTGGAGCACAAGCCCCTCCCCCTCCTGAGCCAGCTATGCTAAAAACTATAAAAAGAAAGCAGCTGAGGTATTTTTGACAGACTCCTCTTCCTCTGCTACTTTCACCAGCCAAAACATTCCCAGAGCCGTTGTAAAGAATTAGTGAAATCTTACAGGAATTGAGAGCAGATTACAGAGTGGAAATCAAGCCACCCTGAGACCCCGTGGAAGTATGAGCCGCAGAGCTCTGCTGTTGCTGGATCCATGCATTTCTCCTAAAGAACAAAT